ATTATTTTAAAATTGTTTTTACATATTTTAAAATTAATGTTTTTTAAACAATCTTAATAGCATATCTTTAAATTAATTTAGTGTATTTAAAAAAATTAAATTTTTTATATATTAGTTTGCAGAGTTGAATCATATATTTAATTTATAAAATAATATTTATTTATAAATAAATCTAATTCTTAAAATTATATTTTATTTTTGTAGTTGGTGACCTGCAAGTACTTCCTTTTAATAAGAGCAATGTTATAAAGAAAAAAAAAAAACCTTTACACTATTTGGATGGAGGAAGTTGGAGGGAAAAGAAAAGAGAACGAGAGGAAAAGAATATTTTTTTTATTTAGATAAATAATTTTAATTAAGAAAAGACATAGAAGGAGATGGAGTTCCCTCCTTTTTTTTGTATTTTTAATCTCTCTAGTTTAAAATGATTGAAACAAATTATATTAATTAACTTATTTTTATTTTCAACTTTTTTTAAATAAATATATATAAGCATTTCATTCCAACTTTTTATTTTAATTATTTATTTAATTAAAAAATTTTAAAAATTTTATTCTTCTTTATTTTATTTTTTATTAAATTATTTAATTAAATGAAAATATTATTATTTCATTTCCTTTACTTTTATCTATCCAAACAAAACTAATATCAACCTTTTCCTTTCCTTCACTTCTCTTCCTTTTCTTTCCCCTCTCCTCCTTTTCCCTTCCTTTACTAATTTTTATCCAACCATAGGCTTAAGGATAATATACATTCTCATACTCTTTTCGCAGGTATGATTTTAATGTCTGACAAAAAAAGGGTTATAGTAGAATGAAATTTTAACATGGTACCACTTTAATTTTAGCATTAGTGAGGCATGTAAATACCTAAATTATTGATCTATCTAAACAATATATGTACTGTAGTAATTATCTTAGAGTCGAAATAGGTGAATTCACTTAATTCACGCTTGTAATTATTTCATCTAAAAAAATCAGTGCTTATAATTAGGCAACCAATTAAATAATTCAATTTTGCCTTTTCTAATTGATTTGTTCACCTGCTTGCTTTGGTTCATACTTTTTTTCTAAAAGGAAATAATATGCTTAGTAGTTAGGAGGTTGATTTGATGTGTTAAATTTGGATCCACCTGCCTTTTGGTGCATTCATATAATATATATATATATATGTATATATAAAGCAAGAGAATAATAGGTAATAAGTAAACAAACTTAAACCAAATCTTAGTAGCTGTTTTTACCTTGATAAATTATAATAACAATTTCGTAATGTGAAATTAATATATATGAATTACTTATGGGTCACTTAAAATTTCACGTTACAAGTTTTTGTTGTTTAACGGATGGCCATACCTTAAACTCGATGGAATGTGCTAATATTTTTAATTAAATGATATGTAAAATTAATGATATGTTAATTCGAATATAAAAAGTTTAGTTTTATTTTTGAAAAAAATTTTGAATTCAAATTTTTTAAATAAAAAAATAAGCACTTAAAGCATTTTTCTCTTTTTAAATTTCAATGTGATTCGATTTTAAATTAATTAAAGTTATTTAAAGAATTAATACAAAAAAATAACATGTAAAAGAAAAAATCATTTTTATCGTATCATTGAGTTTAAAAGAATAAGATAAATAAGATTAAAATCTTAGAATTAAAATTTAAAATTAATAATATAATATAAATTATTTTATGTAAAATATTAAAAAAATTTATATTATTTTATAATTATTTTATAATATTATATATATTAATTTATTAAATTTTAATCTTAAATTTTAATTTCAAAATTTCGTCTCCTGTATTACTAGCCAGTTTAAAAGCATTCCATAAAAGACAAGAAATATAGATTGGACCATCGGAGTGGGGATAAGAGGAACACTACATAAAATTCAAAAATTAAATATAGAATATAGTACTATTGATAATATGTAAGAGTCCATCTCCTTTGAGATTATGTGTTTGGCTTTACTATATAATGGATTTTTTCAGATTTTTAAAAGATTTTGTACTGTAACTAAATTAAAATATTTATATTGTGTGTAATTTGCACACATATATATATTTATTTAAGATTTATATGCTATACTTGCACACTTTTCATTTAAAAAAATAAAATAAATATAATTCAATAATAGTTTTATGATTTATCAAAAAAAAAAAAGAAAGAAAAAAAAGAAAAAGAAAATCCTACTAAATGCAAAATCTGCGTCCCAACCCAAGTGCCCGGAAACTATCGCGCCTGCTATTTCAATTCTGTGTTCTGGAAACATTTTTTTCACCCTTTTTTGAAAACAATTTCTTCAATTTTTTAATTTTAAAAAATAATCCCCAATCAGATCCAAACAGTTTCTTCACCTACCAGACAAGAAATTTGAATTCTCATAGGAAACCTTAAAGCGACAACAAACAAACGGAAATCAAAAACCAGAACTGAAGAAGCAGAAGAAGCAGAATAACTGGAAGTCTGATTTCTGGTTTTCTGACAATTTTAATCCTTGCCTGTATAACTGTCATAAGAAGATAGGAAAAAAAACAGCGGCTCCGGTGCCGGCGTAACTTCCTTGTTTTAGCAAATGCCAGTTCCGGTGTTTGGTTTTTTCTTTTTCCGTTTCTTCAATTTCGTTTAAGGGGAAACGTAATCACGGGGAGACGGGAGCAACGGCAGGACGGAATCGCTTTTTTTTCCCCGTAAATTTAAGCCCGGAATTTGACTTCCTTTTCTCTGTTTTCCAACGTTCTGATTTTCGATTAGGGTTTAATTCGAGCTCTGTTTTTGGGAATGCAGTTTTTGAGAGGAGATTTTAAGTGGTTAGGGTTTTTTTGGGGAGCAGTTATGTTTTGTGTAATGCGTTTTTAGAAAGGAAGAGGAGATTTGAATTGTGAATACCAGCGTTGGGGTTTTGAGAATTTTGAGAATTTGGGGGGATTTTTTTTTTTTGGAAAGATGATGTTATCGGCATCACCTACGTCGTTAGCTAAGAGCTCACTGGAGGAGATGCTGGAGTCGCTGAGACGGCGGGATGAGGGTGAAAAGTCCAAGGACCTGCCACCGGCACTGCCAGCTCGGCCAACTTCCAAGGCTCGGCTACCCTCGTGTCGCAGGTCGCTTCCAACTGATTTCAAGGTTGACGGAAATGGTATTAAATTTGGAGAAGTTTCTGCTGTGCCCAGTGAAGTAAAGGCTAGGGAGGAAGGGAAGAGGAAGGATGAGCAGTTCCGAGTGAGGAGAAATAGCTTTGGAAGCAGGAAGATGAGGAAACAGCTAAATCTAGATTCACCATATAGTGCTAAGGCAGCGGAGGGAAAGAATGGTGTGGGAATGGAGGTGGCGGATGATGGTGGTACAGAGGATAATTTATTCAAAATTGCAGTAAAGAAGGGCGGGGAGCTAGAATGGGATGTTGATGATAATATTGGGTATTTCATCAAGAAGGTAAGTGGACACTAGAAAAAGAATGCTCCAATTTGTTGGTTTTTACTGTGTTTCCTTCTTATTCTTCTTTTTTTTTCACTTGATTAATACTGAATGGTTATATGAATCTCTAGATCAGCACAAAATGTACTTTTCAGTTTTGTGAATACTCTTGTGAATATCTTTTCAGTTTTATTTTAATGTTAATTATATCAGTGTATATTTGGTTATTTTATTTGTCGAATAGCCATTGATGTTTGGGGGTTTTGGTTCCAGAAACTTAGAGTTTGGTGTCGGCTCCCAAATGGCCAGTGGGATTCTGGAACAATAAAATCTACTTCTGGGGAGGAATCATATGTCTCCCTCGCAAATGGAAATGTAAGTGTTACTTCATGATCTCTGAAAATTGGATAAATTAATATTGAGCCCTTCAGATTGTGGGTGGTACATACTCTTATGTTGTTTAACTACTGCAGGTTATTAGAGTTTCTACTGGAGATCTCTTTCCTGCAAATCCAGAAATTCTTGAGGGAGCTGGTGATTTAATTCAACTTAGTTATTTGAATGAACCATCAGTCCTTCACAATCTTAAGCACAGATATTCCCAGGATATGATTTATGTAAGCATGATATTCACTTGTGTATACCCTTAGGCTTCTTGCGAGGATCATAAACTTCACTCCTTCCCGTACCAATTCATGTTTTTCTTTCCATAGAGTAAAGCAGGTCCAGTTTTGATTGCCCTCAATCCCTTCAAACATGTCCAGCTTTATGGGAATGATTTTGTCACAGCTTATAGGCGGAAAACTAATGACAGCCCTCATGTTTATGCTTTAGCAGATACTGCATACAATGAAATGATGAAAGGTAAATATATATATATATATTTTTTTTCTCTCTTGTCTTGGATTCAGCATAAACATGTTTAACTTGCTGTTTAGTCTTGCACTACTTGTTTCTGATGCCTTATCTATTGGCTTTAATTACTATTTTGCAGGTGGAGTAAATCAATCAATAATCATAAGGTTAGCCTGATTCTTTTAGTTAAGTATGCTATGGAATATGGGCTTCTATTTGTCTGTTGTGTTCCATTCATGATTTCCTCTTAAATTGGTTCTTTGAGTGTATTTCCTATATCTATGATCAGTAGTGTGCTTGCACGGTCATAAAGAATAATTTTCAACTCTTATCTTACAGTGGGGAAAGTGGAGCTGGGAAAACTGAGACAGCAAAATTAACAATGCAGTACTTAGCGGCACTTAGTGGTGGCAGTGGTGGAATAGAGCGTGAAATCCTTCAGACTAGTTATATACTTGAAGCATTTGGGAATGCTAAAACATCTAGGAATGACAACTCTAGCCGATTTGTAAGTATATATCTTTTTTTCCTCTCTATTTTTTCCCTTGCTGTCTGCTGAAGGTACCCCTAGATGTGTATACATACATACGGATACATGCATCTTTGTTGTGGAAGGTATCCCAATTGATGTTGATTTGTAAATTATCCAATTTCTGCTCTGTTGTACCCTAAATTTCACCTTCTAGATAGCCTAGAAAGCATGTTTATTTATTGACCTTTCAATTATGAATTGGTGCAGGGGAAATTAATTGAAATTCATTTTAGTAAATTGGGGAAGATATCTGGTGCTAAAATCCAAACTTGTAAGCAATTTTAACTTGGAATAGATTGTTTTACATTTTGTTATGTTATGATTAATCACAGTACTGACTTGGACACTTGGTTTATACTTTCTACATTAAATGTTGGTTCACCATTGAAACCTCCTGATAGTCCTGCTAGAAAAGGTGACTTCTTGTGCAATGTTTGAACTTAAGATGAATTTTCAGTTGTAATGTCATATAATTCTCCTGAAATGTTTTCTTTGGTATTTTCTTTGAACAGTCAAGAGTGGTTCAGTTGTCTATTAGTGAAAGGTCATACCATGTCTTTTATCAACTCTGTGCCGGTGCTCCAGCATCTCTTAAAGGTATTTATTTCATCTTTCATGAATATTCTCAACCATTCAAGTTTAGTTCAAGAATTGTTTTAAGACAAATGAGCTTGAAGCTATATAACATTGGCTAATCTCCATGCTCTTCAGATTGCCATATGTGTTCATTTCTTGAAATTTTATATTTCTTTCAAGAAGCAATCATATCATTCTTTATAGAACTTCTACCTACTCAGGTATTTCCTGCTACATGCTTTGTTAGTATGTGGTTGACATCTACCCCATGATCTGTTTTAACTGAGTTTTCTAAATCAATGCTCACAGAAAAATTTATTTACTTGGGCCTGGGAGATCAATCATTTTTTATTTGATAATTAATGTTGGCATCAGTAGAGGTTGCTTTGGTGGCATTTAATTGTACTTTTCACCCGGCTCAAGGCGAACTACCTTTGCACTTTCCACTTGCAGTTGGACGTTGGACTCTTTGTTTTTGGCAAGACACAAATTATTTTAATAACATATAAGATTAGTATATTGTTAATTTGCGGTAAACATCTTGTGACACAATATCTCATGATGGACCTTTGAAAGTTTATAACTATTACCTTTCATATAAAATGGTAGAAGTCTATTGTTTACCATGTCCTTTTAACTAGACATGACATGGTTCTTGAGTCTAGTATGCTATGCATTCATTTTCATACATCCAAGGAGAATGTGTTTCTTATTCTTTGCATCATTTCTTTGCAGAGAAATTGAATCTTATGACGGCAAAGGAATACATGTATCTTAACCAGAGTGACTGCCTGGTGATTAATGGAGTGGATGATGCTAAGAAATTTAATAAGCTTATGGTAATTCACATGTTATGATGATATGTATACCATTAATGGACTAGCCCCTTTTTAAGTTTATTTCTCTGCCTCCTAGGCCATATAGGGAAATGATTTCCCATTTCTGCAGGAAGCATTGGACATTCTTCAGATTTGCAAAGAAGACCAAGAACATGCATTTGCTATGCTTGCTGCAGTATTATGGTTGGGAAACATATCCTTTCAAGTGATTGACAATGAAAATCATGTGGAGGCATTGGCTGATGAAGGTCAGGAAGGGATTTAGAATTTGCATGAAACTTCTTGATAACTCCCTTATGCCTGATGTATTATCTTGTCTTTTTCTTTATTTATCATTGGAAGAAAGAAGCCTAGGATAAATTATAATTATAATATCGGGTTGCTTTTAAATGGTGAATGGCATGGTAGTACTTGAAAAATAGCAGGTCAATATTCATAAATAGTGTAATTAGCGAGTTTAAAGTAAGCAATTTGCTATTTTTTAGTTATTAATTTTGTAGTGGTAGGATGGTATACTTGTTTGAGACAAGAAAACTGTAATTTTTGAAGATGCATAAAGATGTAACCATTGATTGTTACTTGCTGCAGCTGCTTCTAGTGCTGCCAAGCTGTTGGGTTGCGGTATTCATGAGCTGATTGTAGCTTTATCTACCCATAAAATCTGGGCTGGCAAGGATAGTATTGCTAAAAAATTGACAATGCAACAGGTTTGTTTGGTAGTATTAAAATTTAATTATCTAATGATATGATTTGCTTTTCAACATGATGAGATGATGATGACATATTTTAGGCAATTAAAATGAGAGATGCATTGGCAAAATTCATCTATGCAAGCCTGTTTGATTGGCTTGTGAAACAAATCAACAAGTCACTTGAAGTAGGAAAAAGTTTCACTGGAAGATCCATAAGCATCCTTGATATTTATGGGTTTGAATCGTTTAAGGTATGAGTTTTACTTATTGTTTTTTAAGGATTATTGCAGATCAGTTCATCTTTATCTGCTGTGATAAGTTGTTTCTTTTCTTTTGTCAGAAAAATAGCTTTGAGCAGTTCTGCATAAATTATGCAAATGAGAGGTTACAACAACATTTCAACCGACACCT